GGGTTCCCGTTTGCGGTAGAGCAAAGCACCGGTGGCCGGGGCGCAGGAGAGAGGAGCCTCGGCCTAACCAGTTCTCTGTCCCCCAGGATGCGTTACGTCGCGGCTTACCTGCTGGCCGTCCTCGGTGGCAACGAGTCTCCCACGTCAAAGGACCTGAAGAAGATCCTCGACAGCGTTGGCATCGAGACGGACGATGAACGCATGAACAAGGTGGCGTTGCCTCTGAGCTCCAGAGGCCCACGTCCCCATCAGCGTCGGACAGCGGAGCTGTCCCCCGACCTCGGCCTTGCTTCACTTCCCAGGCTGTTGAGCTAGGCTTGTTTTGTTCAGGTGTTTGCTGGTCGTTATATGGGTGATTTCTAAAACTGCTTAACCGGTCAGAACTATTTTTATAGCGTTGTTGTAGAAATCTGGCTTTCTTAACACCTGTTGTCCGCAAAGATCTCTGTCAGTTGTTGCTGACCTCTGACTGTTCAGTCGAGTAATTTTCAGTGGGATGGTGGCTGCAGATAAGTATGTATTGAAAACAGGTTCTGTTCTGACACAGTGTATAATTTGTATTTAATGTTTAATTTTGGCTTTTGGTCAGTATAGATTCAAAGCTAACACTTTTGAAGGCCTGATATTCAGTAATAAATTGTTATTTAGCGTACTGCAAAGAAGCATTTGTTCCTTCACCCAGAAACATAGGCAAATTATAACATAGACATTAAAGGTATTCAATAGTAATACGTAGGAAGATTTTCGAAATAAATTAACGCTGAAATGGTTGTGCTGAAAAATAGGCTTTTTAAGAAGACAGTATCTTAATTACAATGTTTCTTGTGATATAATAGACTTTCAGCTTGTGGACTTAAAAATAAATGGCCATGGAAAAGAAAGAACAAAAAAAAATGTCTGATTGCCTGGCCCGTACTTGTATGCAGAATGTTTCCAGAGAGGTGGAACTAAAAACAAGTTACTTTCCCAGCTGGAGACAGTGTTTTACCATAGGCTCAAACAAATGATGCATTGGCTGAGCTGACAGCATCCTTTTTATCGTTTGGGATGTTGGTTTGAACTTGTGGTGCTCATGTTTAAATGCCAGCTCTTTCAACTTTGGCTTGTTTATGTTTGTTTAGTACCTTCGTAAATTAGTTGTTTTCCCTGATCCTCCAATATCCGAAACTTTCTCTGGAATTTGTTTTGGTCATGATTAATCCTTTTTTATTTGCACTGGCTGTGTCTTACACCAGCGTAAATCTGGTGAAGTTTTAAAACCACCTTCCTTCCGGATGCAGCAGGCGCACAGGCACGGCCTTTCCCTGGTCGCGTGCTCTGTGTAAGCAGGAGGTGCTTATGGAAGAGCTCTTGGTTAAAGTCCTTTAGCTTTGGTGACTCTGCAGTGTTCAGCTACCTCTTGGTAGCAGGGACTCACCAGTAAGGTCTGTGGCATTCTCTCTTTTTTTTAAGTGCTTGCTTGCTTTAGCAATTTTTGGTTTTGTGTTTTGCTTCCTTCATCTGTGGTTATACAACAATGGTAGTAAAACTGGAGTTGGGACTCTGTTCCAGTGCAAGGATACAGTAGCCAGCTTGGCTATAACATTTGGTAATGCTAGGAACGGGCCCCTGTGGTTTTTGGTCTAGGGCCCAGTGCCTCAGAGCCTTCCAGTGGGTATTAAGCAAGGCATGCTAACGGTCCCACAGTGAGTGGCAGGCCTTTACTGGGCTTTCCTAATTGGTACCACAACATCTGTGTATCCTTCTTTCTGCAAGGTCCTTCGATTCATGATGAATTTATTGTAACAGATTTCATTAAAAAGCTTTCACAGAAAAGTATGAAAGACTTAGCTGAAATTTTCATTTCAGTGTCCTGTTCCTCCCACTGAGAAATAAGGAATGTTGGGGCTGTATAAGCAGTGGGATGGAGGCATCGTGCATGATGATTATCAGTGCTTGTTTAAATGTATCTTATGCTGTTTTGAAACTATTAACATGCTAAACTTAATTTATGCAGGTTATTAGTGAGCTGAATGGAAAAAACATTGAGGATGTCATTGCTCAGGGTAAGTACAGTCTCTGAGTGTCACAGATAATTGCCTCTGCTACTTTGGTAACTTAGACCCGAAAGTGCAGGCTTGCTGCCAGCTCCCTGATTATTCATCAGTTTAGCTTTGTGGCTGAGGACTTCCATGCTCGATCTTGGCTGAAATGACTGAAATCCAGGTCCATTCTAATTCTCTGCAGGTTGGTGTCAGTACCTGCTGGGTTTCGCTTGTGGACCACATTAAACTGGAAAACTTAAGCACGTACGAGCTGACTGGTAGTCTGCTCATGACGTAGTTTTCTGGACATGTTGATTGGAGAAAGAATTGGCTGTCCTTCAAGTTCTCTGGGAGGTTTTTTGTTTGTATTTACCCACTTGTATGTACCAATTATGTAGAACAGAAGAACAGACTGTTAAATGTAAAGAAGTGTCTGTTCACATTAAGAGTACAGTTACACCCTCTGCAATTAATATAAGCTTCTCCAGTGCACATCTCTTTTAGAGCTCCCCAAGTCTGGCATTTCCTTTTCTCCAAGATGAGACTCGCAGTGCTGACTTCTGCAGAAGCTTGTGCTCTTACCTGCTGGCTCTTACCAAAGCTGGAACTTAGAACATTCATGGATTGGGTCATAGGGCTGAAGTAAAGCAGAGCTGAGGTGGTGCAAAGGTTTCTGATTAATTAATTTGTATTTTTTTGCAAATGCATAGGCACAAGGGAGCTTTTAGGTATATATCTGCTTAAAGGTTGCCTGGACTTATGCTGGCCTTGCTGGTATGAGCAGTAACTGGACATTTGTATCTGTGTGGTCTGAGGACCTAAGAGAGCCATTATGCATGTGTTTACAACACATGCTAGCTCTTGCTGTAATACTTTAAATAGTTTCCTAGAACATACTGATGTGTTTTGTTTACTTGGCTAGTTTATTAGAGGTTGAAGTAACAGGGAATTATTTAGAAACTGTTTCCCAGAAATTGGAATACAGGCAAACATACTGTGTACACAACCCTGAATGCCAAGGGAGCCTTGGTATGTGAAAGGCAGATGCCAGAGAACTAGCTAGCTTTCCAAAGACGAGCATAAATCAGAAGTCAGTTTGCTGATCTCAAAAGAGATGCAGTAGGGTTGGTAAGGTGCTGGAAGATTTGTTTCAAATACTGTACTCTTTGCCATAAATAAATCTTTCCCCCTAGCCCCTTCTCTCCTGTAGGTGTGATCCAGTCACCCTCACAGTTCTCTATACTGTTAAAAAAAAGGAGGGAGGGAAGTCGGTGCTGTCTACATGTTATTTTTGAGTTATATTGAAATTACCCATTTCTGGGCTATTATGCTGTATTCAGAAAACACACAGGTTTTCTGTATGTGTAAAGTTGGATGTGTTTGCCGCTATTTTGATATGACAGTTTTGGGGAAAAAAAAAAAAAGGCGGGAGACTTTGTGTACAGAAGAGAACTGACTAATGTGCTGTCAGTGTTTTCAGTGTAAGCCTTTGTGAATCTTAAACTCTTGAGGTTTTTTTTCACAGAACAGGTTATACTTTATCAGGGGTTCAGCCTCTTGTTCCTTTCAGCTAATAGTGACAGTTTCAGTCCACAAGACATAGTATCTGTTTTTTCTGCACTCTGATTTCTCTTCCTTTTCACCTTCCCTCTGTGCTTCCGATGAGCATTTCAGTCCTTTCTCTTCTGTCCCCTGCAGGTAATGGGAAGCTTGCCAGCATGCCGGCGGGCGGAGCTGTGGCAGTCTCTGCCGGAGGAGGCTCTGCTGCTCCTGCTGCCGCTGCTGCCCCAGCTGCTGGTGAGTACGGCGGGAGAGCTGTTGGTACAGGGCAGCTCTGTGTTTCCCTGTTAAAATCTTAACAATTGAGTCAAAATTTCAAGGCTTTTCCACTTTGGCAGTTCATTATGTGACTGAAGTGTAAACTGAACGGATACTTTTCCTTTGGGCAGTCAGAAGCATTTGCTTCTGAATTAATGAACCATGGAGGCTGAAATACTAATAATATGGAAGAACGTGTATCTTAAATCTGTGGTGCAAAAAATGTAAATACTGACTATTGGTTTGATCTTTTTTTTTTCCTTCAGCTGAGGAGAAGAAAGAAGAGAAGAAGGAGGAATCTGAAGAATCCGATGATGACATGGGATTCGGCCTATTTGATTAATTATTTGTTGTAGACAAATTATTAAAATTCTTTGTTTAAATTTTTTTTTTGCATTTATTATTATAACCATATAAGTGCTATTGGATTCAGACATCTGTCCTTAAAATAGCTCTGACAAAGCTTTGATTTTTATCTCTGTCTGAAACAGCTGTGTGAATTCTATGACAAACCATGGGACTCGGCTCCCAGTACTTAGGAAATGGCTAAGCTTGGGTGGACCTGGATGCTTGTTCTGACACTCTGTTTCTTAAAGAGTATGTGGAAGCTGAATGTACCCGATGTTTACTTAAGTTCACATTCTCCATATTATTTTGCTGTCCCAGTTACTCAGGAAAGAGTCCTATCTACTCAGCAATAAAAGGACTTTATTCTTTGCGATCTGTTTAATCAATTCCCAAACATGAAACTGAACGGACAGCAGGTCTGAATTAGTCCAGAAACATTATCATTTCAGAGCTAGTTATAGGAATTAGTTTTCGTAAATACCTAAAAACACTGATTTAATTTCTGTCTCAAATTTCCAAGATCTAAGGACAACACCAATAAACGACTGTGCTTGGATTTCATGTTGCATCTGTATGCTTCACATCGAATCTGTAACAAAAAAAAATCCTTCCCTTCATGGCACACTGAATTCAATGCAAGGGTGCTCTTCTTACTGAATGGCTGCTCTGGGAGTAGCTGAACTATCAGGACGTGAATCACCTTGAGTTGAACAAAAGTAAACTATTTTATGAGTAGAATGATATTTCTGGAGAACTGCAACTGATCTCTGGTGCGCCCAGATCACATCAGCTTGGGATGACAGCAAATTTATGAAGTGTTTTCTGCTAGGAGATGGTTCTGGTAGGCAACTTAGCCTGATTTCTACAGCGGTGTTTGGCTGTAGCTGTAAATAGGTAGAGTTCAAGTAACACATGATGATCTTGTGCCAAGTCTCCACAGGTAGTGTCGAAAAGAGGAATCCTGGAGCAGTCTATTGTGAAGCTTTTCTAAAGTTGTTTTGGACATAAAAAAAAACACTAGCCGATACAGCTGTGTTGGTTATGAGTCATTGGACAAAGCATGGCAAGTACTTCTGAGAGGAGAGATGGGTGAAATTCAAGTAGGAAAAACTTTTATCTCCCTGTGGTATGCTGAGAGAAAATGCCCATTACTTCACAGCAGTCAAGGGAGAGAGCTGTTGAAAGTTAGATCCTCAGACCTCAAAATGGCCGTGATTTAAGCAACTAACCCTTGCTGTCCTTCTGTGCCTGCTGCAAGAAAGTTAACCCGAGGTAACAGTGCCAATACCTTTCATCTACTTCGTCTCTTAAGTCCTAGCATGGTGATCTTTGTGGTAGTAATGAAAACTTGCGTTCGCTCTAGTTCTCTGACAGATTGGTAACGGCTGTGGCTTGGCACTGAAGGGTATACCTGTGTTTCGTTGCTGATTTCTCCAGATCACTGAAAAAGAGTGGTTCTGGGTTGTGGTTTTACTGTGAGGTAACCCTGCCCACCCTGCAATATTGCTTTGCTCAGCCACTGCGAGAACCAAGTCAGTGTTTTCACAGGAAGGGACTGCCCCGTCACACCACTCAGCAGGGTTTTTCCATGCACAAAGGAATTTGTTTCAGTGGTGCTGAGATATTCCATGAGTTTGGCTGTGCTAAGGCCTGTGGGATGAGGCTGAAACCTGTTGTGCCAGCTGCTGGCTACTGCGGTGAGGGGAGAACTACAGCTACATCTAGACTAACTTCTTTCTTCCCTCTACCCCCTATGACCTGTTGAACCTGGAGTTACGGATCTGATCCTGTGCTGGGTGTCCTCTTACCCCTCCTGAAAGTGCATAATTTTGAGTGAAAGGAGTTTACATCAATCTGCTTTGAGAAAGAGAAGGACAGCTCATTTGGTGAACTGTTTAGAGAAGGGGGCAGCTCTCAGACAAAGCACTGGAAATACAGCATTGGTTATGCTGCCACAGGGAGCCAGTGTGTTTTACATAACCACCCTGTAGGTATTCCTTGTGAAGGAACAGGTCTACTCCAAGATTTCACACACATTTTGCTGAATTTGCTAAAACCTCCGCCTGGTGAACATTTCTTCCCAATGCAAAATCAAAGCATTTTAAGCTTTCTTCCCCTGTACCTCTTTACAAAACAGTTGTCACCTGATGGCTTTGTACATGAGCAGAGACGTGCCTGGAACTCTGTTGCAGACTTGTTTGGTGCTCTGTATGGAGTTCACCACTCTCTTCTGCTGATCTCACTGAGCTTCAGCTGTGAAGGACTTGGGATCCCTGTCCCTGCTCTGTGGACACTGTTCTGAATTTTGAAGCGTCACTGATGCCTTTTCAGACTTAGCAATGATTTCCAAAGGCAATGGTAGCAGTGAGGTGGATGCATCATATTCCATAATGGTCTCAGAGAAAATTTGTATCTGCAAACACTTGGAGTGGTGGCCTAGCCTGTCCCCTTGCAGAATCAATTTTCGCTAGAACAGATTTTTCCTGACTTCATAAAGAAAGGGAAAGGCAAGGATAGCCTCATGCCTGGAGATTACACTGGTAACTGATCATTACTAAATTGACAGTCGGAGAGAGTGATTTAGTCATAGGCCTGATGTTGAAACATGCGAGCTTTCCTCATTGGGATGCAAATACTGCACCATCTCAAATCAGCTCTGACTGAAAATCATCCCTTACAAACACCGTGGGGCCAGGAGAGCGACATGACATCTTCACTACTTGGAAAGTAGGGAGAACGTCCTGGACACTACTGGGTAGTCATAACAAATGGCTCCCTGGGGCAACTGTCAAATTAACTAGTTTCACTCTTAGTACTAAGGCCAAATTTTGTAAGCTGCTACATGCAGGCAGCCCTGCTGAACTCAGTAGGTTTGACTTACATAAGGCAGAGACATCTGTAGTAGTTTTTCTAGAAGGAACATTCAGTCCCAGGAGAGCAGGACAAGCAGACTTCTCCATTGCCTCAGGAGATGCACCTGTGAAGCAAGTCCCAAGTGTTTGCCATGGAATTCTCCGATATACGCAGACACCACAGGTAAGAAAAAGACATCGAAGTCTGGCTTTCCAGTGATGTTAACAGCACGCCGGTTGGGCTTCATGACCAGTGCCCCACTCTTGCTGACTACAGGCAACAATACTAAAGTAACATGCTGAAGGCAACAGCTAACAGACTGCCTCTCAGCTTCCCTTTAAAATTAATTCCCGTTGGCTGCCAACAACCAAGGTCTTACCTGAAAAACAAAGAGATTGTTTGCTTGTACATTACTATCTCATATGCACTAACTGCTCAACATTCATTAGACTAGAAAACAAATGCAGCAAAGACAGATTGAATTAGAAGCTGTCTCAGTGGCATCACAACATATAAGGGCACGAGTGAACTTGCAGTGTTCTGACAGGAGTTTGATACACATGAAAAGCTGCCATACAAATCTTGCTGACCTGGCTCATTGCAGGATTATGAGCAATTGCAGGATTATGGCAGTACTTTCTTACTGAGGAGAAAAAGATTAGTTTGGGGGGATCATTTATTTTTGAGGAAAACACAGCTGGTTGCCAGCCTACTGGTGCCAGTACCCAGTCAGCACTAGGCAAGAGATTACTGTTCCCATGGTTTATGTCATTAACCTGTTTCAGGAGCACAGCATTAACCTCCTCAAATAGGTAACCTTGAAGGCCAAGGCAGAGCGATGTAAACAACTCGCGATGAGAACGTTGTTGAGAAATTAAGTGAAACTAACCCCAGCATTATTGCAGCATTGCTATTTCTCTTTGCCAGACATACTAGGAACCTTAAGGTTTGTGAAATGCTGAAAAAAGAGGAAGCAGCATTGGCTCAAGAATGAAGCTGTTCCTGTGGTTACAAGCATTAGGGAGGTATCTGCAAACAAGGTTCAGTATTCAGTTTTGCCACAGATTTCTGCTAAAGCCACAGCCCATGGACTAGTTCTTCTGCAGTGCAACCCCTGTTCTGGAAAACGCAAGACACGATGTTTTCTTTGGGTTTGGCTATGTGGAAATAACTTCCCATGTCACCAGAAACATGGGGTGAAAGCACTATGATTGTCTTGGTGTTAAGGGCCTTTAACAGGGTCAAGGCTTAGGTGTGCCAACACTCACCTCCTCAGGTGGAGGAGATGAGGGCTGACAAGGCTTACGTAACCACATCAAGCACAAGGGAGGAAGGAAATTACAAAAGCAAGTAGAGGTATGAGAAAGAGAAAGAAGAGTGGGTACCGGGCATAAACAGAGGACTTGAGATAAGTGGGGCTAATTCTTTAGGTGCTTGAGGTTGGAGCTAATATGTGTCAAGGGTACTTCCTGGCAGCTAGGTGAGGTGGTGGGCTCCAGGGCTAGGACCTAGAAGAAAGATAAGGCTGGACTCCTGCCTGTCTGATGGAAGGAAAGTGCAAACATTTAACGAAAAAGCATTTAGTTGGTAGAGGCTGGAGTACAAAGCCTAACTTGGTCTCAAATGCTGGGTTTATACAAAGGCTACCTGCTGAGTTTGATTGCTTCACTCATCTGATTGTGAGGCAGTAGACTGAAGCAGTAGACAGCTGGTCTTAGAACCTGGATGGCCCCTCTACGTGGAGCATGCCAGCCTGCCTCCTATCCTTTGAAAGGACATTTAGAGTGGAAGGAACTGGAGAAGGGCTACTTGGATGACCTCCATTAAGGTAATTAGTGAAATTCCTGTGGGGAGGAAAGCCTAGATTTGCTTAGCCTGAAAGCTGTTAAGGACAGGTATAACAGCATCCCAAATGAGAAACTTCTGACCAGCTATAAGAAAACTAATGCTGGTAGACTTGTGCTAAAATGAATTCAGTCTTACTTTTGTCTATACTTTGATAGAAAGTGCTTTTGCCCCATGCTGATTCTATCAAAAAAAGTACTTACGCTTTTTGTTTTGTACCCCCTAAACTTCCCTCCTGCTGATCTTGCTTCCTTGCTTTGAGTTGAGCAGCTGCTGCTCTTGCTATGCTGATCCTTTTGATGTCCCTGTGCTATCATACATACCTGTTTGAATGATTATAGT